AAAGATCCGCTTGAACAGTTTTATGGAATTATGTGGATGAGAGAAGCACAGAAAAATGAAAAAGTTGCCAGCTGTACCAATGGCAAGGAGAAATGCGACGATGAAACAGCAGCCGACCGAATTATTCCCAAAATGTTAATAAAAATTCAGCATTTTTATCTGATAAATCACTGCTTGAGGTGAAGCAGTTTTAAAAATACGAGCTGGTGAATAAAAAGGATAAGAGAAAAAGCCGCTATATGCCCTCCAAGTAGTTCTGGTCACGCTAGTACTTCTACCTGTAGCTCCTTGCTTGGAGAAATAACGTGCCAGTGGATCGTATAGGTTGGCGAACAGCGAAGATGAATACGCGTTGAACGACCACTTGCTGATGCAAATAGGTATCTTACAGCTCCTTCATCTGTTTCAGCTGACGGTACCAGACGGTACAATGCCTGTGTAACCTGAAAACCACGGAATTAGCCTTTGCAATAATAGTGGCTCTGTAACTGCCAACACTAGCAACAGCAGTTATCAATCGTTGGCAATTCGTGGTTTACTTAAGAAACAAACTATGACTGCTTGGCATGCACGGGCAGACCAGAAATTTGGCTTTGAAATTTGTTATTTAGAAATGCTATGACTAGCTCATGAAGTGGTTCTCTGACTATGTAACTGGCAATTTTTCCGACTGCTTTGATCAGTGCTGATGGCCAGTCTGTTGGTGGTCCAAATTTCTTCCTGGGCGTTTTTCGGCTCGGCAGCTCGTCGGAGAGAAGCATTTTAACAAAAGTAATAACAATAATCGCAAAAAGAAGGCCAAAGAAGTTCACCGGAGAATGGAATTCATGCAAAATATCATAAAATTTGGATGTCCGTTGCAGTGTATCTATTCGAATAACACGTGTGGCATGTTGTACAGCTGAGCAGCGCAGCAATATTGGTTCACGCTTTTCAGTGTCGATCTCTTGCAGTCGTTGAACTGCTCTAACTGAAACACGCGCGCGTAGAAAATAATAAACCAGAGTTAGAA